TGCTTGCTAATTCCAAGAATACAACAATTTACGCGTATGCCGCACCAGGCTCCACGAGCTTGTCTTCTCCTACTACCCGCCCCCAACCCCAACCCCAACCTAACTCATGAGAGGGGACCGTTGGCATCGATAGCGTTGTTTGTATTTAGCAATGCGCCACTGATTTTAAACAACCGAAGAGCCGTGTTTTTGAAACGCCCTTTTTAGAGTCGCCTTAAACTGAAACTTCCGCTGAAGTCATGCACACAGACACACACAAACACTGTGTGGCACTGTGTGGCACTGTGTGGGCGAGAACGGAATGGAGAGATCGTATTTCTGAGCTATGCAAACGCCCGCTCAATTTTGACCAACCGGAAGTCGTCGTCAGCAACAACAACGGCAGTGCCAATTGTTGCAAATATTTGGTCTTTGTAGTGTGTATCTCCAGTTTTCTTTATCTTGCTGTGGCGCCCCTTCTCAGCAGCTCCAGCACCAGCACCAGCACCTTCACCGCCATTGCCGCCACGCCTCTACACTTTATGTTGTTCTTCAGGAAGCACGTGAGCGACAGTCCATCCAAGAAATGTGGGTCTGCCCGTTACTTCGCCGCTGACTGTGCCGCTACCACTACCGGCTGCTAAATTAAAAACCCACACAAACTTTGACCCAAATACAAGGCACAAAAATGTTTTTGTCAGGCGCCGTAGGCCGAGCTCAAGCTCCAGCTCTCGACCAACTGTCCAACTGACGACCAAACCAACAGCCAACGGCCGGCTAGCGACGCTCATTCTCAAATGCTTCTCGAGGGCGGCAGCAACTGTGATTGCTTTATAAGACTACTAACGCCAACGAATGTCTGTCCACTTTGCATGTGGGCAGCATTTTGTTTGTCACCATAAACAGCGACATACATTTCCATGTACTACGAGTATATACAAACACACATGCGTGCATAAAAAATTGTGCACTGTGGGTCGAAGTTAGACATCATTCTCACACTACTTATAGGACATACTGTGCCTTAAAATACTATCTATATATCTACTTAATAATGTGCATATTAATTCAAATTAAACAAATACTTGTACAAGGATATCGCTTAAAATCAAATATGAGTTCAATTGCGATAATACGGGCCATTTCTGCAAAATAAAGGCCTATCTGAAGAAACACAATAATGTTGAACTAGGTGTTCAAATGTGCAAGAATTTATTTAAATAGACCTGGCGGTTGCAAGAAATAACATACTATACAACATCCGTAAGTCACTTGAATAATCTAATGAATGAATAAGTAATCTATAAACAATATACAGCAGTTTCCAGACGCCCCAAAACCTCAAGTCTTAGCCACTGTAAGTCGCCATAAGCTAAACAAATTTGGCTAACGACATGCGGCATATATGTAGGTGGCTTATGTTGTAGTTGTTGCTGCGGTTAACTGCCTGTGATCAGGTTTTTCGGCTAAGGCAGACCAGTTAGAAACAGCCCAAGCATCAAATTCTTTGATGAATTATCAAATTGTAAAATAATATAAACGAGGTGGCTCAGCTTAGCTAGACTTGGGCCTCTGCGCTGTTGGCGTCAAGGATCTGGCCGACCTTGAGGCGCCATTCAGAGTGCCCACAATTGCCACGTGTGTGAAAAGTAGGTAAGAAAATCTAACAAAGAAAACTTGTGAAATTTGCTTGCCCCAAAACAAAATACTATAGAAGCAACTACCAACTTTGTCGCTGACTGCTGACTGGTGGCTGCGTGAATGAGGCTCGCTATGAGGCTCAAACAACTCTCCAACACGCCAAGTCGAGCGACTCAACAACTACAAATATGTAGAGGAGAAAAAGCAAGTTGGAAAATGCGCGTCGTGTGGAAATACCACAGAGCCATTTTTATGGCCGGCGCAGCAGCCGCGCATGCGCAGCGGCTGAGTTCAATTTCTATAAAAGGGTCGAGGCGGACATGAGGACGACGAATGGGACACGCGAACGGAGCACAGAGTACAGAGGACGGGAACGACAGACAGCCAACAGTGTAAGGCTTTGTATCCGCCTTTGCTATATGCCTGACTGACTAGCTGGCTCGCTGGCTGGCTGTAAAAATATATAGACGAGTTCGAGTTTTTCCACAGTGCCGCATACAGTCGAGCGCTTATGCTTCAGCTTCTGCCTATAATTTTAGCCTGAACTCCCCAATAAAAAAAAGCGGCGGTGGCGCAGACGCAACGCATCGTTCGTTGACTTTCTGTTGATTTTCAGACACTTGGCTCGTGTTTAGGGCCCAACGAAGAGAGTGCATGAGAACGATCTCGAACGCGGTTCGAAACTTGGCTAAGCCACTTTTCTATAAATATATATTATATGCACATACTTAAATACATATGTATGTATGTACGTAGTATATGTAGATACATAATTGAATTAAATTTGAAAAACGGAAGCATCTAGTTGCTGACATGCTGTGCATGATGATTCATTTGCTCAAAACTTGCAAACTACATATACATACATATATATGTATATATGTAGTTATGTTCATGTGTACTATATACATACTTGTATATCTGAATATGTAGCTCTATGTGTCAGTTGCAGCAGCAAGAGGAGCATCACCAACCCAAGCTCGTCTTAATTGTTTTAATTCCGAGAAATGCATACAAAGTGGCATTTAATTGAAGCGAATTTCGCATCCAAATAAGTGACAGCAAGAACGACGAGTAAGTGTAATGAGGGTAGAAGAGCTGGACATTCCCCATTACAACCGCCAACTCAATCAAGTTGCCGGGGTAACCAATTTATGCGCACATCGCTCAATCCTTGTGCCAGGACAAAAACCTTAATTGTCTCAGTTTATTGCATTCCAAGGTTAATTAGCGCCGCAAAGGCGGGCTAGTTTATGGAATTATGTATGCACTATGTATGTACTACGAGTATACAAGTATGTGCGACTTGAAAGGAGAGGAGTGCATTTAAAAGGAAACACGATTCCTTCCTTCCACAAGCCGCCAGCTACAACGAAGACCTTGCACATGACGTCGATATCAAAATCATCAATATCAACGTAGCCCATTCAAAAGTATCTGTCAATACATGTATGTACCAAAAACAGATAAGATAGCAAGTTCCAAACTGGGCTATTGGAGTGTGGGGGCCTGGTGTGTTGACACGAAGTGCAAATAGAATAAGAATGAAATTGTTTCACAATGAACTGAACGCGTTTATCTGAGGCAACAAAGGGAAATAAATACTTTATACATACATTCATATATAACTATGTACATATATACATATATGTATATACGACAGTTGTGCCATACTTATGGCACATTCTATGCAGTAATTATGTGGAAATATCTGTGCATCTCAATCAATGGCGAGACGAACTCAAAATTCATTTACAAATTGCACGCGGTCCTCATTAAGAAAAACGACCCGCCAGGATCGACGGTTCGAGCAGGTACTTGAATCCTTTTAATGGCCGGCTAACGCTCAAAATGTGCTAGAATTTTCACGCTGCACAATGGGAAGAACTGACCAGCCAGAGAATTAGGTCCCTACCTTCTTCTGCCAATTCTATGGAATTTTCAGTCGCAAAACCGGCTGGTCGGGCGTCTAATTAACAACCAGGTAAGTAAGGCCGCAACAAAACTTGCTACCTGGTGCGTCCTGCGATTGACGCTTCTCCTATTATTTTGTTTACATTTTCTGTGCAGTGCATGAGTGTGAAAATTAAATAAATATAGTATGCTAATTTCGCGTTCAAGTTCAATTTGGCGAAATGAATTAGATAAAAAGCAAAGCCGATCCAGTTCTCTCCCCATCTCTCTCCCTATCTTTCTCTCCCTTTCCCTTTCGGAATTGACGTTCCATTGGCAATTCGCGATATTAACATTGACAGCAGAATGTCAGTCAAAAAGGAAACAAATATGCGTACGTCAGCTATGCGCCACTCTCGACAAGCTCGAGCTGCGACAGTAGAAGGGACTTGGAGGAGGCCTGGGCGGAACTAAGAGACTTGTACTCGTACATGGCGCTGCTTGTAAGCGAACGGAAATTGAAGTGATAAAAATAAAAATGAAGCCACTGCCATTCTTTGGCAGTTCTCTTGCTGCCTTCGTTTTCATGTATAATGTATTTATGTACTATGTATTCACGTATATGTATGTATGTGTGCATATCGGATACGCAGTTGCAAATAGTATCTATATATGTACATACTTGTACATACATATGCATTGCCAATATAAGATAATTATGTATGTATGTTTTTACAAACTTATGCACATATACATATGTACATACTATATACAAAAAAAAGTATGTGTGCATATTAGCAAAATGATGAAGTGTGATGTATTCCTATTCTTTGGTACGTATTTGAGTTTTAAAAAGATCTGCGTCTTTTACTCAAAATCAAACCTAAAATAGTAAAGCCTCATTTTCCCGTAACCCATCTTAAATTTAATCCTTTATCAAACACAAACATGAAACTATTCAGTATGTATTAAAAAATGTCTGTCATTTGATCGACTATTTTCAACATTCGATGTATACACCTTTTTATTCCATCTGTCCATCATCAAACCGCTCCTTGTCTATACATGCCGTCATTTTCTTGAGATTATGCACATATTTTTGTTAATAATAATACATAATGCCCAAACAACGTGCCACAAAGTCTACGCAAATGTTTATTTATGGGCCTCAAGAGTTTTTTATATTATTTTTGTTTTGGTTAGTGGCTATTTTTCTAGCTAAAAATGCCAAATATACATACATACATACATATGTAGCTATAGGCCAAACAAATAGCATACGCATACACATACTGCATATCTATGCTGTAGTAGATACGTACATATCTATCAATGTCCCGACGCCCCAAAGCTCGTACTTGATTTATGTTGATTTTAAACAAGATAAAATATTTTACATACTATGTATTGTATCTACGCTACATATAACATTGAAAAGTAGCTTTAATCTGTAAAACGGATTAGGGACGAAATAAACAGACGCTTACCTTGCAAGGAGACGACGCGACATCCGTCCTGCTTCAGCCGCCGATGCAGGACATTGATAGTGGCGTCATTGCCGTTACCATACATTGCGAAGGCACCGGCCACGTCATGCTGCGTCTGCTGCTGCTGGGGCGGTGCTACGCCCACATCGTTGTAAAGTATGAATAGACTAACTTTGTAGCCCGTCTGTATGCGTTCCTTCAGTTCCGTCGACTTGATGGTGGACGCCAAATCGATCTTTCCGGCTGGAAGTTCAATTACGTATTAAGTGTAAGGGAGGTATTTTTATTGAAAATAAATTGCATGCAATTCATCTTAAGCTAGTATATGTAATAGCAAATATATAGGCACGTTCCAAGTTTCCTATGATTAGCATGTTTATATATTTTAGCAGAAAAAAACCCAAATATTTCCTTTAGGCTTTGCCGCCACTTCGGTCCGGAATATTTAAATACAAAATTTGTGAAATGATAAGAAATTTCGGAACGTGTCTGATATTTTAGAAGAGCTTACTGTTATAGATACAGAAAGTGAACTTCTGGAATCCAATTCTTATGCAACTACTCGGACTTACAAATGATTCGGCGCAGCATTATAGTCGGAATGCTGAAGTTGACGGCGCTACGAATATGGGACTCGCTATACTCATGGGAGCCACGGCAGTCCAAAATAATGAGCTCCTTGGCATCGTAACTGGTGCTGGCTGCAGCACTGACGGCACGCAGCTTTGATTGGAGCCACTCCTTGCTAACGCACTCGAATTCAGTTTCCGGCATGGTCAAATACTACTTTTTATTTGGGGGGAGGATTACAAAAATTCCGCCTGTCCGCGTTATTGTAATTAGATTTGCCGCTCTGATTTGGTGCTAAAGAGTTCTGCGTTGAGTTTTTCGTCTTTTGAAAAAATGAATCGAAAAACAAGAGCGCGCGCGTTTGAAGCACACGGAAAAAACAAGTTACTAAGTTTACATCATCTACCAGCACATTTTTCTCTGCCTTGTCTTTGGTTTTATTTTTTGCTTTGCTGTGTTGTTTGTTGCTTCTGGTGTGGTTCTTCTTCTTATGTTTCTGGTGCTGCGCTTCCCTTTTTGTGTTGTGTTTCTTTTCTACACTCACGAAATTTTTTACAATGAAACGCGCACTAAAATTTTTCTGCTACGTTTTTGGAGAATTTTTGTAGTGTGCAGCGCTTGGAAAACTTTTGCTTTTGCTTACATTTGTAGCTTTTTCTCACTTTAATGGTTGTTGTAATTGTTGTTGCACTGTATTTGAGTTTGGTGCTGCTTTTGTTGTTGTCGTTATTGTTTTGTATAAATAAAATTTAAATACATTTTTGCACTGCCGCACAATTAAAATTCATTTACATTTGTATGTATGTTTTTTGTTTTTGTTATATACTTTGCTATGCGTGAGTGAGTCACGCATACAAACGCGCGCAAAATCACTACCGCGTGTATAGGTATGTACACATGTAAGTGTACCAGTGAAACGAGTGTGTGTGTGGTTGTGCCGTGCCCGCTTGACAAACCAAATACCCTGAAACGCGTCCGAAACACAGAACTACAACCTGCATACGGCACGACCGACACGAGCAAAGTGAATTCGAAACTCAGTTGAAAAACGAGCAGCGGACCAGTTTGGGCACACACACTCACCAATACTGACACACGCACCACTCATCGGTAGAAACGGCTCAGCCGACGAGTGAGCGCGCTAAGGTGTGTGTTATATGTACATTTGTATGTACATATACATATATGGCGAGCACCCGCACACATGTACAGAAATTGCCTACTTGTTGTCGTCGCCATGTCGTGGTCGGAGCACCCACTCACACACAAATGCAGAGGGGTATATGTGTATATCTCTTTGCATAAAAAGAGCGAATAATCCGCTGGTTTCTCTCCAAGTCTACAATATATAGCCAATGACGACAAATACCACTTAGAAAATATGAATTGACTGCAAAAAATTATCGATATTAAATTAATGGATATTAAAAAACATATACCAAAAACCCTGGCCTAATAAATTGAATTTATGATAAAAAACTATTATAAATCAATTCATAGAGCACTTTGTGTACATTTCAGTCACCTTTTTAAGAGTTAGATACATTTTCCTTTTCATAACAGCTCTTTTATTAAAAAATATTATAACAAACAACATATATTATATTCATTTTATTATAATACATTTTATATTCGGTTTTTTTTTCTGTGCATTTTTGTTTATAATTAAATAAATAAATTCAGACTTCGCAATTCCATAATAACTAATGCTGTATTTCCAACAGGGCCTCTTCTTATTTTACTCTCCACGTTCTCATCATGTCCACTCTCCGTGCTGGTGAGTTTCTGTAAAGTTCATTGATATTTTTATGCATTGGTATGCGTGTTGATTCATTGAATTGAATATTCGCAGCCAACTAGCGCATGCTATGGCGGTTGGTTGCATGCTTTATAGTAACAGCATGTGCTTCACAACTGTTCCCCTCCACCCACTCTCACGCAAATTTAATATGTTAAAGTGCCTAACTGTTAGGCTGCAAAATTGTTTAACCAAATTCTATATACGCATGTACATACATATGTATATATGCACGTATGTAAATATGCACAAATGCATGTATGTTTATTCATGCATTCTTCAATCGCCAAAATGGGCGTTTTGCTCCTAATCCTGTACACACATGTACATACATATGTATGTATAAGTACATTTGTACATACATACATACATACATATGTATATGTTTATACACAAGAAGGTGGTTCCTAGGATTTATTAACCTGAAATGGCCTCTCTTTAAAATGAGCGCATTAATGGGCGTGTGGCTGGTTGGTCGTACAGTAGACCTGGAGGTTCCAGCAACACTAGCAGCGACTCATCCATCAATGAATAAAGTCCGAGCCTGACTCACCCAACCAGCAAGGACACAGATACATACATATATACATATGCATGAATGTATGTACATACGCCCAGCATGCGGGCATTTTGGAGACTATGGCAATGTTTAAATTTATAACCGTGACCCTGATATTTGCAAAAAGTAAGGAATCTAGCAGCTTGGCAGCAACAGTAATAATAACAGCAACAACAACCAAATTTCAAGGATATGCCGCGGTTGGCGACGCGCGTGCAAATTTCTCCAAAAAAGCATCTACGCTTCGCGCATGCGTTGCGTATGGACGGACACACTTCTATATACATATGTACGTACACAACCCGCTTTATATAGCACATGACACACACAAACATACACAGAAATGCGACTCAACTCCTCACACAACAAAATTTCATGAATGAAAAATCCCACGCGAAAAGACTAAATGACGACAAGGCAACAACAAAAATCTATGTAAGCCCACGCATTTGGAGTTCGCCATCTATACATACAAATATATGTATTGTACATATACAAATACATCTGTATAGTGAGCTTCGAAGAAAGGGGTGGGGCACTCACTGAGGTTGTGACAAAGAAGGCAAGGACGGCAGCAGCAGCCTTACAAATGCAAAACCTTTTGCGTTGTCAGAAAACTCGAACGTTGGCGGCAGTAAAAAAGAATATAATACGTGGGCGTAGGGTCAGACTCCACAACACCCACACCCCTTCTTGCGAACTGCCAGCCTGACCACGTTTGTGGGTCCACTGCTGCTCCGGCCCTCAGTAGACCGCACAAATAGAACATTTGACAAGCAACTTCGCCTACACCCGGTCCCGGGTCGTTTGAAAACGCGTACAAAACACTCGAGGGCGCAGCGCAAAAACAATGCGCAACTTCAAAGCTCCATGTGTTTTTCACCTTCATTTGTTAGTGCGCTCCAATTTGTCCTTGACTGAGCTCGCCTGCAAGCACATCCAAGCACATTGCCCAGCAAGGTCATGGGTGTCCGCCCCAGCAGCGTGCAGTAGAATTTCAAGTTCAAACGGTTCCGTTCATAAAGCGGGTAAGTTGTAGTTTCTATAATGACGCCTCACTGATAGCAGAATTTGCCATTTTCCATCAGCTAATTAAAAAAACAAGAAACTTGCCAGCATATGCCCCCATGCTGGGCGCTGACTAATGCGCCTTCAAATCCTGAGTCACAGGTACTCTTACTGTATTCTACCACAAAATTACGTAGCAATTATACATTTTTTACTTATCAGCGACGCACTTTGGACAGTCACCAACAAGTGAATTGTACAAAATTATTATTGATTGAATATTGTTTTTAAATTCCAATTGATGGTCGGGAGTATTTAAATAAGTAAAGCTGAACAATTTGAGCTACTTCTCTAATTTATCTATCATACGTAATTAGTGATAGAAGTGTCCGGGTTTTGGCAAAACAGATTAATATTGCTATAAGCTTTCCACAATGGGTTCGACTGATGAAACATGGTATGACTTTCTTTAATGAAAGTATTTTATTTGTTGCTTACTTTTTCCCCTCTCGGTATTACTGTACTGTAACATACTCCCCTTGATTTTCAGTTAACATTCTAGCACATCTAGTTCCAATTATTGTATGTAGTATGAGTATCGCAACTTTTTTTGCACAATAATTTTTAAAAAATGTCTTGAAATTCCGGGTGCTAGCCTTTTTCCCTATTTTAGTCTTTATATATAATTCTGAAGAGCCAAGGAAAATGCTTATATTTTTATTCATGCTGAGTATTAATCCAAATTCTTCTCATACAAGTTTCAAAAATTCGCAAATTGACTTTCGCACTTTGTACAAGCTCTTTGGGAATTTTCGCAAATTGCCCGAATTCGAAGTTGAATTTCTTAAAACTGAAGCAACGAACTTATCGCTCCCGAGCTTGTGCGAATAAGCGTAAAGTTGGGCATGAATGGGGGAGAGAGAAATAGAAATAGTGTCTACATTGTTTGCGATTAATTCAAATATTTACACGGATTAACCATTCATATTCATTCTAAAAGGGTTTGGTTTTTGTAACTTCCAGAACGAATCGTGGCTAATCACACCAAGTTCTTATGTGCTAATGGTGTTTTAGGCAAAGTGAATGGCTTTAATATGTTTTTGCTGCTCTAGCTCTTCTACCTTCAGATTTATCTCTATTATGAAACTTTAGTTTCAGTTCAAGTTTCTTGGTTAAAGACTGTACCGTTAAGCTCTCGGCACCAGCATTAAATTCAAATTCATTCACGGCTGATTCATTGATCAGGAATGGCGGGCGCCAGTCCTCATTCACACATGCACGCTCACTAAATTGACCAAATAGTGAAATGCTAGAACGCGATCGATTTTATATAGACATGTGTAAGTGCTCCCAATATTGCAATTTATATACATATGTATGTATTTACATACATATTTTGGTGTGTTTATACAAGTATTTGGCTTTCTCCCACACAAACTCACTCTGGACACACCCGATAGCCCAACTGCGATGACGTCTGTTAATGACGTATTGATGATGCTGATGCAGTATTACGAAGCGTGTGACTCAGACAAGCGGCGAGATAGTGGCTTATAAATATCGGCCAAGAACCTACACGTATGTATATACTATACATAGATTTTATTGTGCATTCATATGAGCCTATGGGTTTTAAGACGTCCTCACTAAATACCTAAACACTTATTTCGCGTGTCGGTAAGACCAGACCGTCTGACACCTACGAACGCCACAATCATCTGACGTCATGAGCGTATAAGGTTTTTGGTAATCGGACAGCGGCTGCTTAGGTGTTGGTTTATTTTTGGTGAAATATGTGCTGTACAAATAAGAAGACGCACTACACAAAGACGCATACATAAATACATATGTACATATATACAAGATCGGACACTTGCTAAGCATAAAAATATGCACAGCTCCACCGATCCAATTGAGCAGAAGGCTAACGAAGGTTAATGCGTCAGTATTTGACCGCACGGGTCAAATGCAGCAAACTAATTGCGCAAATTAAAGAATATCGAAAAATAGATACATACATATGTACAAACATATATGTATCATGTTCGGCTTCAGCTTCGGCTCAAGCTCTGCCAAAACCGCAGTCGCTGTAGTAATTGATATAATGCTGCTGCGGCATCTGAGCCGCGACAATTTCAGCCAATTAAATCAATAAACCAAAAGGCAGGCTTTTAAATTCGTACGCGTTCAGTTCGATTGGGATCGTCTTGTGTGTGTGTGTGTGTGTGTAAGTGTAAACTTTCAATTAATGGGACTGTGACTAAAGATTTTCTCAATTGTTGGGGGCACTTCCGTTGAGCGCTGATGGCTGCTGAGTGGTCGTTAATTATGTTGACCTAAGTAATTTGTAAATCAAATGTGGGAGCGTGTGGGCGCCTCCTGCTGATACAGATACATATTATACATAAAATCGCGCTGTCATGCCCAAAACTGCTGCTGCCGTTTCTTGGATATTGTAATTTGCCGCAGCCAGCCCACGCAACGGCAGCAGCATCAATGTTAGCCTGGCCAAAATCTACATACCTAGCTAGATATACATACATATGTACATACAGTATACATACAGTACATACATATGTATGCATGTATGTATATAAATGCTTATACATTTTATTTTTGATAACGCACAACGGCAACGGAAACATTGCACGCCCACGCTCAGCAACGGCAGCGGCTGTAGCAGAGTTTTCCAGCACGCCATTCATTTCAACCACACGCAACAGCAAAAGGCACAAAGGCGTCCCCGCATTCTGCCAAATCCACTACTCTACTATGGCAGATGTGAGTGTGTAAAGCATTCGTGCAAAATGAGAAGTAACAGCCGCGCCAGCGTTGGCTGGCAACATTTTACGCATTCCAATCAGCAGCAAAAACAGCAAGCGCGAGCGTCGGCGTGGGCGTCAATTTCCCTTTTTACTGCTGCCGATGGGTGTTAAGTAAAGCGAAACTTATGAATGAAAAGCTGTCGTGCTTGTGTGGGCGTTCGAAGCTTTTTTGCCAGCTTGTTTGGGCGTCGGCGTTGTCAGCGAAAAGCTATTTGAAGTGGCTACTGTCTCAATAGCAAGACAATTTTACCAAACACCGCTTTCTCATTCCCTATAGAGACAAGCTATTGATTTGAGGTAAGCGGACAAAAGCCTTCACAGTCGGACAAGTGGGTGAGGTTGACAAGGGTAGAAGTAATAAGTATGCATCTTTTCTATCTAGCTAATTATAAGTTGTTGTTGTTATAATTATTTTTATTAATTCTAAAAACAGTAGCTACTTTATTTCTTTTTAAAAATTACCGCTCAATGACCGGCCATGGCAACTTAAGCATTCACAGAGTAGGTTGGCAGTTTTGTGCAGTTACAGTGAATGGCAAATAGAAGAAATGGGCTGCCAGATTGCTGGCATAATTCGCGTCAATATGTGACTACGGCTGCGAATGGGTTCATTAGCTTTTGTCGTCTCCACTTCGTCCCCAAAACGGAATTGCTTAAATTAAAATAAACGACGTCGAGGCCGTCTGCGCGTACTTAATACTGCAAAAACATCTGTGTCATTTTGCACGCTCAAAGGCCATGGAATCGGATACAGTGGAGCAAAATAGCACTCAAAAAGAAAGTCCTGCAAAAAGCCAGACGTTCTCCGAGCCAATAAAAGCGGCTCAAAGTGAAAGCTTAGAGGGCGACGAGACGGGCGGAAGCGTACAAGTTGAAGCTGATGTTGAAGCGCAACCACCCTCCAAACGATCAAAGGTTGAAGACCAGCCGGTTGAAAAAGAAAAGGAAGTGGAGGATGACGAGGATGAGGCACCTGAGCTAGTGTCGGCTGAGGATGATTCCCTTTCCGAGGAGTCGTTGGAACGCGTGCAAAGCACACAATCCAGCTTGCGACGTTTTAAACAAATACCTGTGTTTATAGTGGATTATCACAATGATGTGCTGGAGTTTATCTACCGATGTCTAGCCTCACGGCATTTGCCGCTTGAGAATAACATTTTGGTGCACTTTGATTCGCATCCGGACCTGGTTATAGCAAATGACATACCTGCGAGTGCCTCCTACGATAAGGACACAATGTTGACGGAACTGAGTATTGAGAATTGGATAATGCCAACGCTGTATGCGGGTATTTAGCGTTTCTATATTTTCTTGCCGGCCATTAATTACTTTCTCTTTTGCGTAGGTCACTTTAATCGCATGGTTTGGCTAAAAAACTCATGGTGCCAACAGATACCGACGGGCAAGCACGAGTTTAAAATCGGACACAAAAACGATCGCATTGGGATCGACTGCCCGCTTGACTATTTCATAGCCGATGGCAATTACTGTCCTGCAGACGAACTGGAGGATGCGCGCACAGTAAAGTTACAAGTTTACGATGCTGACAGTGAATCCCTTGATCCCCGTGAGTTCATTACCGAGAAGGACGCGCAGGGCTTTATTCTCGACATAGACTTGGATTTCTTTAGCACGTCGAATCCCTTTTTGGAAATATACAAAGATGTCGACTGCTATTCTCAGCTGAAGGAGATATTTCACTTTGAAAGCGTAGAGTCTGTAAAGCAGGCGGGTACAGCTACCATTGCTGATTACAGAGCGACTGCGGCAGCGCGAAAGAAGCAACTGGACGCCCTTAAGCGAATCTTCTGGCAGCTGGATGAACACCACACTCTGGATGGCATGGACAGGCCCGACGAAAGCGTAATAACGCCTGAGGTCTATGCCAAAATCATTCATTTGGCCGAGTCATTGAAAACCAAGTACGTCGATGACGAAATTGACTGGCTGCTCATCTTTGATTCGGGCAGCACCACCGACAACAATGGACTACCGCATCACATTAGCACTAGCGAAGAGTTAGATCAGTACTTTGCGCATTTCAAGCGTTTCCTGCAGCGCCTGCCAGTGCCGCCGGTGGCCATTACGATGTCGTGTTCGGTGCAGGATGACTATTGCCCTCAAAATCAAGTGGCCTTTATTGAGGAGCAGGTGCTGCGGCTCCTACGCGAGGTGTTTGGTGAACGGGTGCATGATAAGCCAATTCTCCACTACATGGACGACGAGTGGAATGTGATGAAGCTCTAGGCTCTCACCCTACTCCACCACAATTTAATCTCCACACCCGTGTGATTCTGATACAGATCGAAAACTATACTAAATACAAAAACAACATAACTATTTTAAACGCAAACTAACTTTATTAATAATTTAATATACACAATTACATACTTATAAACAAACAGACAATTTTGCTTTCAACCCCCTCCATATTTCTAACTGGCGCTTCTAAGGGGCGCCCCAATTTGGGGCCCCAATCGATAAGTCTTTTCATACCACGGGGTTGATTGTATTGTTTGGTTAGTAACAGCTTTAAGTTCAGTCGAGACGGTCACTAAGTAAGTTATCTAAAGGCTTCATGTAAAGAGAAAATTTAAGAAAATTTGTTACACAGTCTGTTTCTATGCTCATAGGAATCTGTCGAATGATTAATTCGAATTATTTGGCCATTACGTTAAAAAAATGATTTGAGTAGATCCGGTAGATCTTCAGATTTCAAAGCTTTTTCAAATCATAAAATCCGATTAATAAGAATATGGCATTCGCTTTTACACCACAAATTAATATGACGGACTGAATTAAGCTTTTCTTCAAGGTATACGATTTCATTTTCTAACTCCATCGATTATTACGCTTGTAATCTGGGATTGATCGTCAAATGCAACAGTATCCATAAAAATTCTTCATTGCTCGAAGGCTTGCTTGACCGTATTATAGGCTTTGTTTCTTCTTAAATGAAGTGCGCTTATAGACTAGGGAATCTCTTGAAATGCAAATTTAGCTCAGCTCCGTGACTACAGCTCCTCATTGTCACCTTTTTTTTTCTTGTTGATTGCCGGCTTTTTTGGTGATGGCAGTTGCTCCTGTAGGCACTGGCGCTCCTCCTTGCGTTTTAGTACATGATCCGCGCACAGATGTTGCTTCAGCGTCTTATCCTGCTGTAGTTTGAAATACCAGTCGCTTATGGTGTCCTCATACTGTTCGAGCATATTTTCGCATTGAGTTTTCATTTGGGTAACCTCGACCGGAGGCTTGTCCCATAGCTCATATGGTATTCCTAGATCGACTTTAACACCCTTGTCCACGAGACCATGAAGTGTCTGGAAAGTCTGCGACATGCCTTTGGCAAAGCGCGTGCTATCTGTGCGCTCCTTGTGCAAGTTATACTCCAGTACACGGTCACACACGTTCTCCAGCGATTCGAGTAAGCGCAGTTCGCTGCGCCGGTATTCCGTGCGCTTCTTGGGTCGCACGTCGTCTACGGAGTAGCCGATCTCGATAACATCGTGCGATTTGCCTGTTTCACCCAGGCGGGCTTCAAGTTCTGTGGCGAGAATCTTGCAGGCTTCGCAGCGATTTGCATAACGCACACCCTGGGCTTCCTCGGCGCTTAGATGGGCATCCTCCGTTCCTAGGACACTGCCAAAGTTCACCAGCAATGCAATCAATAATAGGGGCGCAAACATTTTCCAATTGTTATCAATGACAAACTGACGTGGAACTTCTTGTTTATTGTGCACAGGCGTCTGATAAAATTGGAGAAGGTATGGTATCAAAAGCGGCAATTTTTTGCTCTCACTGCGCAGATATGTATATACATACATACATATGTGTGTATTTACGTCATAATATGCTTTTCGCAAGCCACGCACGACTGAGTGAGCGCGCAATAAACATCTGCTTTGAAGTGCACGGCTACTTAATATTTTGTGGTAAATAAAACATTTTCACAATAACACACTCTGTTTAAATACTGAGATTTTTCAATTTACTTGCTGGGCCAATAAACGTGGAAGCACTTAAAAGTTACAATGCAAACATTATGGCTATACTACGGAGATGCCCAATGACTTTTCGTCTCTCATTGTATCATGGAACAGACGTTTGCCATCCATCAGCTGTTTTTTTTGTTGTTGTTGCGAAATCTTTTCTACAATTTGGTATCATGTTAAGATGCACCCGGCTGCACGTCGAAGAAAGGGTTTTCGTAAAATGTCTAACCAAATTATAAATGACAAACGTATGTATATATGTATGTATGTTCAAAATTTTATGCACCTGCACCAAATGTGGCAACCTTCTTAAAACGAGCTGCGCGCGCACGTCTGGAATTTGAAAATGTTGTTCGTAATGGCTGTCCGTGGCAACGTCATAGCGGCAAAACATAAACCCGTAGGCCCCAAACAACCCATTCGCGTACCCCCAATCCGATCAACTAGACTGCCCTCTTGGTGTCAATATTTGACACCTTTGTTTTGGGGGGGCAGAAACAGCACACAACAAACATGCCACACAAGCGATTTTATGTGCGCGTAAAGCTGCATTTGCATGCGGTCAGTGGTAAATTGAACGTGTCTGAAATGCTTATTAAACTCTCATCTGCAGCTCACCTGCCCGGGCGTTTGGCTATGCTCACACGGCTACATGGAGGCAACTGTAAAGACACTTGGCTATTACTTTCGCACCGGCGCTATGGACCCGCACTTTCCAATGCTCTGCCATGATCAGTTCACAATGGAGGGCTACTTTAAAAATTCCAGTTCTCTTGAGGAGTTGCGCAAACTACTGGCCGCTGAGCAATTGGAAATTACGTTGTGGCAGAATGGGCGCCGTTTGGCCTATTTTGTTGGCCAGCTTGTCGATGTGGTTCAGCCGACAGTGCCGCGTTTAAGTTGCGCCCACAGCGGTAATGTTCAGCTGCTAATGAAGGCCACGCCAGCTTTCCCCGGAATACTGGCACCTAAGGTGGAGCTGTCAGCGCAAGTAACTACAGATGACCGGCAATTTAGAAAGAGCTCAGTGGGAGACATTCGGTCCTTAGAGGACAAGGATGCTTTGATCGCAATAGACCGACCTGGAAATCGCCATATTGACAGCCGCTGCCTAAGTCGCTTAGAGCTACGACGGAAGCAGCAAACCGTGTGTCATGCCAAGGAAACTAATTGTTATTTGGCAGGTTGTAGTTGCGCCAAGAGCATGTCTACCACAAGCTACTCCCCGATCCAAAATCGTCGATTGTCCAATTCCTCCAGCCTGATCAGTAGCAACTCCTTTACCATGAGTCAGGATTCAAGTGCCTCGGACTGTCACCACTCTTGCGAAACAGCTGACATTGTCAGCGATGCCGACGAGCATCAGCGCAATTGCAATATCTGCCAGGCTTACAGTCGCGTCTTTGACAGGCTTAAAAACCACAATATCAAATAAAAGAGCACTTGCACATTAACTTATTTTACAACTATAATTGTTTCATAAATAGGCGGCTAAGTCAGCTTGACCGAACACATTGACAATAATGGTGATAATGAGATTGTATGGAGTGGCATAGTGCTCTTCCTCGGGTTGTAGTTGATTTCGCAGCTCCAGACATGCGCGTGCTACAGAGCGCAAGGTACTGTACACGTTTGGCTCTAAAGGCATATGTAATGTGGCTAGTGTGGCATAAAGCCAACGAGCTAGCCAAGCGTCGGAGCCATGCAAAGCGATAGAGGTGGACGCAGAGGTAGAAGGTTCCGTATTTTTTTGCGGATCATTTTTTAGCCAATGGCTTTGCATTTCTAGTAGCAGCTCCAAGTCACTTTGGCTGAGACGCAAAAGTGTACTGAGCAAAGGCTCTTGGTCACGACAGAAATGCAGCCACTGTTCGATGTCTGTGGTAAGTGGTGGTTCAATGGACTCGTCGTACTTATGCACCTTCAGTTCGCGGCGTATAGCACTGATGCGTGAGCGTGCTTCCTTGAAACTAGAGCTTTGCGTTTGCTGCCATTCTGGCGTGGGAAAGAGGCATTTCATTGGCGATGGCGGTGGCTATGTAGTTAAAATAATGATTTTTATACTTAAATATATAGAATGTTGTTGCTTACGCTTGGTGTTCCCTGGATGCCACTGCATGAGCTCGCTGCAGACTCATTTGTGATTTTGTCTGATCGTTTTGTTACTACTACTGGGCATCGTTTGCGTTCATACAACATGTGCATTAAATATTCCTCGCCATTGACTGGCGGCTTCTTTGGATCAAAATCCTTGCCCAGATCCGGTATTTCCAACGCTTGCATTTGAAATGATTGCGACTCCTCCGGTTCGCACTGCATTTTGTTGGCTGTCCAAATAAAATGTGAATAGAATTAGTTGCCGGTGAGTTTCGTATCCACTTGATATGACCGAAACAGCTGGCAATGCCGATAGCCCAGAGACGCGGCCATTGTTATCGATTTAATGACTAATACCAGTGCTGGAAAATAAGGATATTTGAAAATCCTAAGCACAAAAACGTTAAGGCAAAAAAATGTGTATTTATGAACAATTCTAGAACGTTTTTATATAAAGTGCAGTTATCTTTCAGTTCATTTTGTCTGATAAATTATTCGTAAATAGAAGCATTATCTTACCTGATTATATTGTACACACCGAGTTGAGTTTTAATTATTAAATCTGATTCGTTATTTATATACGTGTAATTAGATCAATCGAGTTGTAGTGTCGCACATACCCTATGCCCTATTAGTTTATTTCATTAAATACTACGCGTAGTTACATTTCCCTTATATTCAGAACGGCACTGTTCTTAACATTTATAAATGCATGTAAAGTTTTAAAGATCTCTAGGTATCTATGAATGTATACATATATGTTTAGATTGCTTATACATTTTGTTCATTCACTGAATTACAACAACAACAGCTGCTAGCTAAAGAGTATAGAGACTACATATTCGGCTATAATATTTGTTGAAATAGTATTATTAAATACATACTTGGCATATACCTTAATAGAAAATTGCAGATTTTGCGACCGGAATTCTAAGGAGTTATAACGAAACGTATTTTCTTTACCCGGTGTTAGGAGAACCTTTATACCAAGTTTGGTAACTTTTTCCTCTATACTTTCGGAGATCAGGGAGTTAATGCAGATAGATGGGCGGACAGGAGGACATGTTTAGAAAGACTCGTCTTGTCATGATAATCAGTAATAAGTATTTATTATGCGCGGTCTGCATTCATCCTCTGCGTTGTTACATAAACTGAACGAGCAGACCAGTCGAGAATGTCTCCGTAAGGTTCCATTTAGTGTTTTCCCTCTCTAAGGCAGAGCTAAATGAGAGAATATAAAATGAAATTTTCATAATTGTTTGTGGGCGCAGGTGTGGATGAGGCTGTGGTCCATGGTCGTTAATACTTATTGTGTACCTATAAAACAGAAAACATAAGAAGGCAGTTGCACTGAATGAGCTGTCAGATACAGAAGTAGACGGCAGGCAGGTAAATACATAGATAGGGCGCTTCAGAAAGGACAGGCTACTCTGTTGTAATGTGGAATTGGTGCATGACCGCCATATAAATTCGCCCATCCTGGTTCTTCTGCTTTCTCGGCGACCTTAGGTTATATTTGTAGTTATGCAAATCTGTTCTGCACAGTTTTATTAAATTTCCGCATTACACTGCCAAGTGAAAAATTTAAAATTCATTAAAAAAGCTCCAGAAACACTAGCCGAGGGCAAGAAAGCAGACAAACAGAGATATACATACATTGCCTCTCCAAATTGAATTGCATACCGTTCGCATACTACAAGTATATGCGGAACTGTGTGTAAATATGTTTGTTTACTGGTATGTGAGTAATAAGGAAATCATAAAAGCATTGCTAAGAAGCAACAAAGAAGTGTAGCCAGCGAATGACATGTGCAAAAAACGTTGTCAGGCAGTGGGTAGAGCAGACGGCAGACAGAAGACAGCAGCCAGGAGCCAGCAGCTGGGTGTTACCCAGTAGGAGAACAACAGACAATATGTCGCTCCCATGTACATCTGCAGTCCATTTCCTACCCGCACCCCCTGGCCCACTTTCCGGTGACGCTTTTCCAATTGTCTCGTTATGTGCAAGTGAAAACGCCAAAAGGAAACAAAACACACTGCTCAGTTTTTTCTCTTGCTTGACAATGTTGTTGTTTGTGTTGTTGCTGTTGCTGTTGCAGTGCTGCTTGAGTTTTAGGTTTCCTGTGCTTGTTTCCTTGTTCGCGTTTGTGTTTGCTGCAGGCTCGTAAAATATTTTTGCAACAATATAACAGCAAACTAATTTCCATTGTTTGCTGTTGGCGCACGGGTTGACAGAAGAGGAGGAAATATTCGTACCAGATTTCTTCGCCGTCAAACACATGAAAATATTTGTACTTGATATTGCAGCGCTTATTTTTTATGTACGCGTATGTACTTAAAATACAGAATTACATCAGCGTATACTTGTATAGTTAGTATACTCGTAGTCCATTCTCGAAAGTTATTTACCCACAATTGTGCACATGCACAAAATACCAAGCGCTACCTACGCAGCTCTCTTAGCCTTTCTCTCCACTTAACTTAAATAATTTTTAATTGAAAGAAGCAAAGGTGTCTTTTGCTTTTGTTCGTGAATTTCCAACGTAGCCCGAATCCAACAAAATCCCAATTTTTCATAAAGTCCCCCTTGAGCAAGAGCAGCACATTTCGGACTTGGGACTCGTCTCTCTTTTTTTTTTTTAATTTGTGCGTTATAGTTACGGATACGTGATTTAAAATTTAAATCCAATTATTTTGTTTTCGGTTGTGTCTGAAGAGTTGCTTGTTTACCAGTTGCTATTATTTTTCAATTTGGCCAACCAAACGCCCGGCTACCCGCTAGCCTGCACATCGTAGCTTTGCCAACCACTTTTCAGAGTCAAGGCTGTTCTACTAGCCTTCTATTTAATCATCATCATCATCATCAGCACAGCCAGTCGCAGTCATGGTCGCAGCTTTTGGCAACAAGTTTCTGAAATCTACACCTGCGACGTTGCATTTGTTGTGCACTCAAGGCGTTGGGGTGTACGTATGTACATATATGTGTTTGTATAGACGGGGAAGGGGGGTGCGAGTGGTCCAACTGGAAGAGCTGTCTGCTGTTTTTTGAATCAGCGGCATCCGTATTTGTATACGTCTCTATTTTTTTATAGCCGAGGTAAAATTGTGACCCTGAAACCTAAAAATACGCCCAGGCAGTGAGAGAGAAAATAGTGCATATCAACAGCAGATGTTGAGCATTTTTAATGTAATGTAAAGTACACACACACGCATATCAAAATGTGCTATAGGGCATGTGGGGAGATTTTGGGGGCCTAAGCGTCACAGCCTCTAATGAGAAGCAACTTCTCAGTGCTTTGGCCAGGTAAGCCACCGGTGCGTATACTTACTACCGTTTCCGGCCGGCCTATCACCATTGAAAGGGTCCGCCATTGACTACCTGTATTCGTTTTAGTTCCTGCGCCTTTGGCAGTTTGCGTCGCTTGTATCGGTAGCTTGGCTTTTTATTTCAATAATAAGTTCGGATACTATATGCGATTTGCCTTTGTTGCTGCCGCCTTTCGTCTTTATTTATACCTTCTGATATTTTTCATGGGCAAATAACATCACCGCCAACTCGGCCTTGACGCTGCCCCAGCTTGGTGTGTACAAGCGTCATTGAAAACCTAAGTGCGTTTCCTTAATTATTGATGTTACCAGTTCCAAGAAGCAGTCCAGCAAGGACATTCAATTTATCGGCCAAATCATGTAATGCCTTAAGCTGAGCCAAGTAAATGATTTTGGCGAAATTGAGGGCGGAAAAATGTGTAAGCAAGCACTTTAAGTCTAAGAGTTTCCTAACGATATAAAATTTAAAGTATTTGGTTGTCAGTTGCTGTGAATACGATGTCAATATTTTCACATTCTTCTGTTCTACAAGTATTTAGTAGTCTATTTCGAAGCGCAACCTCTGCTGGGTTATACATACGAGGGAGCGAAAAAACGCATTTTAAAAATAATCTGTTGTGCTTCAGCACTTAGTCACACTTAGTTAAATCCACATTACAGGTAATGGTGGACATTCCGAACTTATATTTCGCAAAGTAATAAAAAATACATAATCTGGTCTACTGTAATGTATGCCCACAAAATTGGCACCGTACCTATATTTGGTTATAATTTCCAACTGGTGTGTTTCTACATGTGTTGTTCAAACACTTTTTTACTGTACTTGTACATACGAAATAGCTCTAGATAGCTCCTAAGTAGAATTAAGTTTTCTCCTCTACTATCTATTTCTTTCTTTCGTAGTGGTGTAGGTCTATAATGTCTCTGATAACATTTGGCTGCGAATCGGGGCATAGCTGGCCAAATGGAAAATAAAACTCCTCCCCCAACGTGCCGCAGGCATTAATAGACATTATTAGTATATTATTATTAAAGTATAGTTATTTTTGAAGCTTTCTTATTTTTTTAAGTTTAAATTGTAACTTAATTTTAGTAAACTGTATTTACAGCATTATTTGTTGATATATTAAATAAATAAATGAGCGCGTTGGGTGTTGTATAGAACTCTGCCTTTGTGTGTAAAAGGAATAGTGAATCTGTGGACTTTTTATTCTGCAATAACTAAAAGAATTATTTATAACATTGACCGTTCTCATCACATACCTTGACAAGGAACAATGCAACTATCAGCTGATTCAAAATCATAAAATCCACCTGAGAATTAATGTAGTTTGAGAAACAAATAAAAGAAAAATTATATAGCGTATCACCACCTGAATCATTTGCTTCATTGCTGGTACTCACTTGCTTTACTTCCCCCGATTTCGCTGCTTGTACGCTAATACTATACATATCAGGCTGGTGCTTTTAAACAAATCCGGCACATTTAATATAACGAAGTCAAGTAATTTTGAATAACATACTTATGTAGCTGGAAATATTTATTAAATTTATTCAGGGACATTTGCGTCTTTCTGCTAAGCTCGTGCGTCATAACTCCTTTGCAGTTTGGCCATTTCGACTGTTTCTTTTGGCCAGGGGCATCAAGCCATGCTTGCAACATGTGGAAAGCAGCTGCTGAGTAGGACACACGACACATCGATGCGCTGGGCTATGGTCGACTGCATTTGCATTTCAGTTTCAGTTTCATTTACTTACCTCGGGCTTTTTCATTTTCAAACAAAGTGGACACACGCTATAGAAATGTTATTTGAAAATGTTTATTGTTGCACGTTTCAACTAACTTCAGTTAAACATTGTACTGCTGCAGCTCTGGCTGCTGTGGCTCTCTAGTTACATTAAATATGCATTAAGTATGCATGTATGCATATATTGTACATATGTATGTGCATACATATCATTAATAAGTACTTCAGCCTATCCCAATCATAAAAAAGCGACGGCCTTTAATTAAATATTAATTACAATACCGCGCCTCGTCGATTTTTGCAGCTGCGCAATACTTGTAGTTACAAAAAATGTGTATTTTCTAAACGATTTAGCTACGAAGGTTCTTAATTTAAGCACACACACGTACATGTATGTATATACAAAAAATTTTATACATCCATATGTAATCAAAAATATGCTGTAACTTTTAAATACAATATTCAAGATTTTAGTTTCAAATATTCATTACAAAAATGTATGCGTAACAAGTAAGACTAAATAAATGGCTCAGCTCTGGAAAATTGAATAGAGAAGCTCGAGAGTTTTACAAAATTAAGTAGAGTGGAGTAGAGAAATGTAAGGCAGCAAGTTTTTTTGATAAAAAATGTAGTTTTAGTGTTGGGTTTGTTATTTGTTCAATTTGTTCTTCTTTTTAGCGGGGTGTAAGGCAGCAAGTTAGGATTTAAAAGAATTTCTCGTTTCCTTGTCCCATTCGAGTCCGCTATGTGTGGATCTACAAACACTTAATGAACATCTATATATTTATATACGTATGTATGTGTTATATATAAAAGTATTTATGTATAATGTATTGAATTGTAAAACTACGTAAATATATTACTATTTAAATATGCTTTGGGCTCATCGTTTACGGTAAGCCGGTTATCTTACCAATCAGTATGTATCAGTACAAATTTATAGTTTACAGTTATTATTGTTGATCTTAAGGACTAAAGCCAAATATTAATTTAACACTAAGCGAATCCGTATAATTGTTTAATGTTATTTAACTACAATAGAATAGAAGTATTAGTTTGTTCAGAAGCAGCCGCCGATTAGTATCAGTGTTAGGTAAATTCGTAGAAACAAGCTTAAAGTTTGTTGTAGGCGTAGCTCAAAGTTCGAAGCAGGCACTTTACCATGAAATGAGTATAAAAAGTTGGCTAGGAAATGCGAAATATGTATGCAGGTATTTCTCGAACGTTTTTAGATTCGATGCCGCGATTTTAAAGCAAAGCGCTTAGTTATTATTCACTTAGTTGCTCGACTAATGTTCATTGTTAGAAAAATAATTCTTTATTTTACCTTTTAAATTTAATTATTGCTGCAGTAGAAACACTGGCTTTCCTTCATAAACTATTTATCATGTTAGCCTTGTTTTATGCTATATATGTATAGTGTATGCATGTATGTGTGTTTGTATGTATGTACTATATATAATATACATACCAAAATAGTCAAGCGCCACCAGAGAGAGAAATGCTTAGTTTTATTCCAAAGTAAGGATTGTTAATGATATTGCTCTGAAATTAGCGCCATTATAATGCCATATAGAAGTACCAGATCTCCTAGCTTTGACAAAATTGATCTAACGAGAATTCCAAATTCAGATTTATTCTAATGCCAGAAGATAACACTGGGTGGAGCTTTTTCAAAAGATAGCCCTCAACTATTTTATTTTAATCCAAAGATGTGGCTCATTAAAATCTGCAAACAAATGAGCAATCAAATAATAAACTTTAATTCAGTCTTCGGCAGAGATTGCGTGAAACATCTGTGATAATCAGTCCTACAACATAAATAAAAATTAAAACGACCTTAAAGTAAGCACCCTTTTGGCTCAAATGAACCAATTTTGTTGTTGTCTTATTCAATTAAAAGCTAAAGAACACAAATAAGTTAAAAAAAATGGTTGTGCGTCTGTAAAAGTTTTGAGTAATATTGGCTGACGTTGAAAAATGTCCAAGTTTTGTTTTTTAGAACATATCCATGGTCATGGATATGGCGATACCTGTAGGATAAAAGGGGATAGAGAATTTTTAAGCATTTTCAACGGCACATGACTTATTCATTACAAAGATAAAGCAGCTACCAAGTATTTCTCAATACTTCAATACTAACAGTCTCCTAACAGTCTGTTTCCTTATTCTCTTTATGGTACTGGGTTGATGTCTCAAATGGATTCGCTTCACTTTTAGGGTTTCGTTGTCCAAAATGACTAAGTGATTAGAATGGAAGCTTTTCGCGCCCAGTGAATAATATATATAATATATATAGGCTATAATTGGTCTGCTCATATATATGTACTTGTATATAACAATCAGAATTTAAAAATTTGTCTTAAAATTTGTCCAACAACAATTAAATTCTCGCAGCAATGAATTATCTTAACCACTGGCCGGGAATAGAAGAAGAACTCTTCTTACATTTGGAATAGAATAATACATTATTTCTTCTGGGGTCTACATAGTATAGGTGTGTGTGTGTGTGTGTGGATGTGTGTGAGTGGTCTTGTTGAAATTTTACTTTTCATTGATAGTTTATCACAAAATTTCTTTACGCGCACTTTTTTAATTATTCAACATTTTTCTGCTCTTTAGGGTTTTCACTCAAACTCGGCCTCTCTGCGGCCCCATTGGCTCCTGTACCCCGACATGTGTTTGCCCAAACTGCGACCCGCGTGCGACGTGGTCAAGGTGCTCGATGGCTCCTCTGCCTCCGCGTATGTCGTCTGATATGTAAAGGGATAATCTGTCGGGGCCAGGAGCAAACCTCACGTCCGTACAAACTTGTATACTATTAAGAACACCATGAAGGAAATAGCCACTAAGACCACGGCGGTGATGACCTTGGCGCAGGTATTGAGTCCGGATTCGTGAGGATTCAACGGTCGCGAGCTTGTGTGTGTAGCCGAGCGACGTCGCTTCGTGGCAAGCCCGCGCGCCAGTGCCGGAAACGCCAACGATTGCGTAAAGGTCAACTTGTGTATCGACTCGCTGAGCGAGTAGGGACCGACGGATCCGCGGGCTGCAGCTCGGAGCAGTACGTATTCGAGGTCCAGGGCATCGAAGAGCGAGTAGCGCGCCGTCATTGTGGAGGATCGACGATGATCGTGGCGGGAATCTCGTTCCCGGTCGGACTGAGGCTGCAGCCAAGGATCGGAGACGCGCTGCTGTGCACCCGACAGCGGACCGACAGCGTAGGCCGAGGAGCAGGCGCCGCTACTGCTGCTGATGCAGCCACCGGCGGCGCCCAGTCCGCCGCCCAGGCTGACTGCTGCCACGGAAGTCAGCGACGACGTCGTCGACGACGAGGCCGAGCACAGACGCAGATTGGTGGCCAGCCCGTTATCATGGAACTCGTTGGCATCCTCGATGGAGGTCTGATCAGGCGACGTTTGAGCTCGTTCCAGTGCTGCCGCATGTTTCATGCGCAGAGCAAAGAGACGCGCATGATCCGGATGCAGCAGCGCACTGGACTTTCGACGGTAGTTGGCCCCATTGTTGGGAACCACGCAGATACTGTTGCGCACGCCCCGCCTGCCCAATGAGAGGTTCGGTGAGCCATGCGTGGGCGTGGTTGTGGGCGAGACGTGGCAACTACCGCCTCCGGTAAGAAGAGGCACTCCACCACTGGGCAGATTGACGAGCAGATTTGCACCTGGTGGTGCCATCAGTGCATTGGGCGACGGCGAAGCCTGCACTGAATCTATACCAGAGTCGCCGGCATGCAGAGTATCACAGTAGAGGGAACCGCGTCGTTCGATTGTGGCCAACGATAGGTGGTTGCTAGCCCGCTTACTGGTGATGCTTCCGCTGGTGCTGGAAGTGCTTGCGGTAGTAGTGCTGCTGCTTGGGGCGGTGCTGTTCCCCTCCACGCTCTCCCCAGCACTGCAAGTGCTGGTGCTCGTCTCGACAATGGCGGGGAATATGAACGACTGGCCGTCAGCTTCGCCGCGCGGTGAATCCTGCAAGACCGAAAGTTCAAAGATAGGCGCATGGAGAAGTGTGGAAATCAAAATCATTGGACTGGGGCTCAAGCTGGTTCTGAAGTGCAGGGGCGGCGGTGTTAGTTAATAGTACTGTTATTAGAGTGTGTGCAAAATCGTTGGGTATTCATAAATATTTACAAACTCGTCGGTGGTGGTTAATATTACAGATGGGCGTGTGACAGAAGCGGTCAGGCATTCGCAAGGTCTGCCTCTAGTTTGAAACTTTGTCAAGTCAGTCTGAGTAAAAAAGCTATTTCTTAGGGAAATATTAGGATTTCCGAGCAAAATAATGTGTTAATAATTCCATAGATTCAAATTTGTTTTTAAATTTAATTTTAAAAAATAGTTGGCGGATTACAGCGGTCGCTTATATAAAAATGTCAAGCGGTCGTGTTAGGTCCAAAGCTACAAGCAGACTCGCAGCATAATAATAAATAGGAAGCAAATCAAAAATATATCTACAAGTATATGTTGACTTTTGTAACCAAGGGCGTAAGCAGCTTTTCCCAATGGGATGTAAAAAAATCGCAATTTTTATTAAATAATGCACGATGCGTTAAAATAATAATTTATGCATTCGATCAACAGAAAAACTTTAACAAATCCAACTCAGTTCTATTTTAAAGGAAATAGTGCGCCATAATAATGAATGTGTAGTCCATTTCAGAGTGCGAAGTTCACTTCCCCCCCTGCGTACGCCCTTGGTTTTAAATATTATTAAAGGGATTGTACCAAAAAGCTGAGAATATGTATGTTTTAGCTTGAAGTTCCCTTCGGTAATGATGTTTTTGTGATATTTAAAATAGTAGTACATTTCAAATTGCTAAAATATATAAAAATATCGGTAATGGATTTTTGTTGTCAGATATTTGATCAGATAATGATGATTTTACTGCGGATGTAGTAGCAATTTCTTTTGTTGATTGCTTTTATCGCACGCCCATCGCTGACTTTCATATTAGAAAAGAGTGTTCTTATATAGCCTAATGGTGCATAGAAATATACATATATAACTTTAAATACAATTTACCTAAAAGAACTCTAGCTGAGTGGTATGATATATAAACCCCAAAATAAATGGGGTTATTGAGTATATAGGAAACAATATTACAATTTTGGAGGATGCCCAGCACCCGTTGTTTTTAGAATCGAAGCATGCAAATCTGATTAACGTATTAAAATCGCTAGTGTTATTTGCATAAGAGAGTTAATAATTTGGTGGTAGTATGTAGTAAAAAAGAAGGTCTAGGCAAGTTTTTGTCAAGGCGACTTTACTTATGAGTGTAGGCATTTGTTAACAACTGTAATCATACCCGCTGGCCCTCGGGACCGCTGTTGCGACGCTGAACGAAGCCCTCCTGGCGCAAAAGCGGCTACCACACAATTAAACCATATCAAACACGCACACACAACCGCACATATGCATGTATAGAGCCCAAGAGCCCAAAGGCAGTCAGTGGAAGAGAAAAGTTTGGAACAGCATTAACATAAAAGGGAGCTCAATAAACTCGAACCGCAACATAACCTCACAAATTTGAGCACTGAACAATACTGTTGCTAATTTGGGTGTTGGTTTTCGCACACACACACTCACATACACACACTCACATACACACACTCACATACACATACACACAAGAACAACACAGACACACCCTATAGGCTAGCTGCATACCTGGCTGGGCCACACCTGCAACAAGGGAAGCGAGCAGGATGGCTTGCTGCTGGTTGTTGTCGAGGCTCCGCCATTAGCATTGCCAGTCACCGAGGACGACGTGCACGACCCCGTGCCCTGGGACAGACTAGTGTAGTGCAGATGGTTGAAGCGCTGTGCATCACTGGCCGGCTTTGTGCGCGTCGGGCTCTCAAAGCCAGTGGAATCGTCTGATGATGTTGTCTTTGGCGAACGCCAAAACCGCTTTAGGCGCAGCTCGCGCCTTTTTTCTTGTTTCTGAAAGGAACAGTGAAAAATGAAAAATTGAATTCGCTTAAAACATCCGCTTTGAAAAATAAATTTGCTTTTTCTGGCTGGTAAATAGATTTCATAATAAACCCATCTACACATAGTATTAGCGTATATTCAAAGTTAATGCAATGAAGTCAATTCGAAATCGATCTCAGTCGTCCTTGAATCACATTATTTATGATGTTAAGATGTCTTAAACCGAATATGTTAAACATAATCAGTTGCAAGTCCATATAAGACGGAATAGGAACGTCAGAAATTTCAATTGGAATAAGAAATCATCAACTACAAAGTTTATAAATACATTTACAAATTTTAATATTCTACTGCAGGTTTCTGACACAATTGGCTATTATTTAATACACATTTTATATTGAAATGCTTTATGTAAATACAAATACTATAAGTACAATACATACGCGTGCTTGATACAAATTAATAAATAGTGTTAAATCTTTTATGAATGTAGAATGGAATACGAGAGTAAATAAGAATTCGTGCGCCGTACGGTTATGAATAAATAAATAAATAAATAATATAAAAATAAAATAAATAAAATATATGTATTTTGCAACTAGAGGATTTGCAGTTTTGTTGAGGATGTTGGGCGTTTTTTGTGCAAATGTAAATCGTGTGGTTTGTTTCTCTATCTGGACGATCACGATGAAACTCTTCAATCATAAAGGACATGGATGCACCAATTTTATTACTCCAATTTGTTGTAAATTATTATACTTGTATCAGTTCTAAATGCATTGCTGACATTGAAAATCCTTTTGATAAAATATAACATACAAGTATGGAGATGGTTTTGAAGTTAATTAGGTTATTATTTATTTATGGAATGAATTTGTTTAAAAATACCAGTATATTTTTTAAATTAAATTAATACTCGTATTAGGTCCAGAAATATAACGAAAACATGCACCGCTTTTTGATCAAAACATATGCTAAAAGCATCGGCCTTTTGTCAGATTTTGATAATTCCAGTTCGTGTGGGGAGAGACGCAGATAAAGAAGCGACAACAACATATTTTGGATGAAAGCTATCCTTGATCCCTTGTCGTGGTAAATAAAGAAAATTGTTATTGATACGTGCAAAAATGCAATTTTGTTCACCGCCAATAAATATTTTCTTTATTTATTTTGACTATGTGTGCAAAAGTGTGTAAGTGTGTGTGAAGCTTCTGTCCTTGCTGCCGGTTGTGGATACACGCATGCTGCACCAACACGATGTGTGGTTTGCTCTCGGCCAGCCATATTTTTAAAATTTAAAGCTGGCGTGTGCGTATCGTTTTTGTTTTTCAATTTGTGCGCATTGAACGCTTGTTATTTAATTTAGCCTTTTCCCGGATCGTTGACAAATGTGGGTCTCCATATGGACCTGACAATAGTAGCAACAGTCTCCTAGAAGTGCTTCGACGACCACCTCTCGCAATGTGCTCTTAGAGGTTTGTTTTATTTGGGTGGAGTTGGCTTTGAATTTGAATTTGATTGTAGCTATTTGGTCTATTTGTTTGCAGCCATGCTGTCTGCACATAATAGTATTTACCTGCATATTTTTTAAATATCAAATCCGTTTTTTGTGTTTGGTTTTTCATCCCCAGTCCGTTGTTGGCGCAACAAGAAAATCGATGGAAAATTTCACAAGCACAGGCATCAAATCTGCAGAAGAGAACCAAAATGGAGAGTGAGAGCAGAGCTATGAAGAGAAAAACAACATACAACGACTATTTGGTTTACGGCTCCCACATGTGTCTATGTACATATGTGTGTACATTCTTATATGCAATTGAATAAAGCAAAGGTTGAATAATCAACAAAAACATAGGGTTTTTCTCAATTATACAGTTACGTAACATACTAAAGGAATAAAAAAATATAAAACACATTTGCAATGCAACAATTGTGTTTAGTAAGGCTGATAAGACGAGTCGTTATAGCCATGTCCGCCTGTCTACCTGCTTACCTGTCAACGATCTCAAAAAGTATAAGAGCTTGAAAAACCAAACTTGGTATCCAGATTTTCCTATGTCCGAGAATGAACTTTTTGAATTTGAATTTTTTCTCGTTTTCCCCCAAATGTTATATATTTTTTTTTTCATTTTATTTAAATAATTTCAAAATTGTTTTTCCCACTCGACTGTAGCATTCTATTGTTTTCTAATTGTTCTCTTTGTATTTCATATATTTCATATTTTTTTCATACATCTTTGTGTTTTTGAATAAATTTCCAACAACCGACTAGCGTTATTTAATTTTTTCGGCTTTTGTCTAATATTCTTATCACATTTCCAATATTTTAATGGTTTGTTTTTAATCGAAATATATGCAACCTTTTGCGTTCATAGGCGCACTCACACTAAAGAGTCTTCTTTGTCCCTAATTGTCAGTTTTAGCATAATAAAAAGCAATACAGTAATAATTCATAACGGTTAATAATCAAGTACTAAAGTGTGTTAGTTGCCAGCTGCTGTATTCCAAGTGAAGAGCCAAAACATAAGAACGCATCCCGATATTTAAAAGAAAAAACATAGCATAAGAGCTTGAGAATCTTGTTCTTATTCAAATGGCAGTGTATTTATATATGTACAGTTTGTTATTAATGGGCGAAATCCCCAGGTCGAAACGATTTGTGATCGATCATTACTGATTTCACCCTGTGCCTGCTCTGATTTGTGATTCATTTGAGTAAAAATGTCAATCGCAAAAACAAAAAAACAATCGGGAAAATATTATGATTTCAGGGTTGGGTAGCGATTGCTACTGTGACTGACAGTTGTCAAACAATAACGAAAATGTTGCTTGCATGTTGGATAATCATGCTGAAACGCATAAAAAGCAAATAATAACCGATATGTTCACGGAAGCGTCAATTAATAAATGATATTGGGGGTACCGCAAACTGACAAAGGAGCGGGCCCAGTCCAAGTGCTTCTTCTTTTTTTTGCAGGGTACAGAATGGACCAATGCAAGGAGCATTTAAGAATGTCGCGGACTACTTTCGAGGTATGGTCTCCCTAATCGGTACATGGGTATTTCAATTTTCTTTGCGTTATATTTTCATTACTTACATTTTCCGTTGTCCATTATTAATGTGACCAATGGTCTAAAACACAGTGAAGCTACATTTTTACCTGCGACTGTGACTTTTTGTCAGAAAATACTAAAATCACAATATTTGTATAAAACAGTCATCACAAGAGGTCTCCAACCAACGCGCCCAATGTTTTCTTACATGACGAACAATTTAATTGTTTTCTATATCCTCCCAAGTATTTTTAATGGTCGTTTGTTTACAATTTTTTTATATTATTTGATCTATTGGCTTGAACGATAAAATTGACTTCCACAATTCCAATGAAATCAATCATAAAGAAGCTAATAATGATATTGTCGAGAAAGTGTTTTTTATTTGTATATTTGTATTATTACAACAAAAAGCTGATTCGGTATATCTGTATAATTACTCAAAATGTTGCACCATTAATTTAAAATACATATGTTCTATTAGTTCTGCTTGATTCTAATCCATCACTTCTCCATTTTCTCTCACCTTCCTTGCAAGAGTACTCATCAAAATCATAGGGTTCTCATACTTTTTGGACCACTTGCCTGTTTAATTTTAACAATTTTCCCAATAAAGGATGCATTTCCTTAATTTGTTAGGCAAGTTTTAATGATAATGTATCCTTTGGGCCAGAGTCTGACAGACAGACATTATACTTTCTTTATATGCGACTTAAAGGTATTTCAATTACACGTCCCAATACAAGCCTCCATCAATTCGCTCAATTTAATTTTTCTACCCATGACAAGAACACAAAGGCATAAATAGCAAAGGCGACAGCAGCAGGAAGCGTGCACATTAACAATCACACACACACACACCCTCACATAAGGGCGGCAAGGACGGTGGTGACGACTACGACGCCATTAGTGTTTGACAAGGACATTCGGCACACGGACATGCAGACACCCGACCAATATGACAAACATGCATGGTCAAGTTGAAGGCAGCGTATTGCTAGAATGTTCGAAAAAATTAAAAAAATGCTATTATTTATTTGAGCGTGTGTGTGGAAAAATAAGTGCTTTCGCAACGCCTGCGGGCATAAATCAATGCGTACACAAGCTTTGCAGGATATAGACATATCCGCCATAGGAAAGGTTAGGAAAAGGCAACATCCCAAAAGAGCGAGTTAAGACCAAATCCCATAACTGATTTGTTTGGCTTATTACAAACTCTAAGACAAAATTCCAATCTGTGTCAGAAACAAGTATTGAAGCTTAAGGTAAACGATGAAGCCCACAGCACGATATTTTTCGTTGCTTCCATCGTTCCCAAAGAATTTTTAAACACTTACTTCTGACTTAAATGCGGTCGAGGCGTTATTTCATTATCTTTATTTCAGATACATGGCTATGATTAGCATTACAATATCTATCTTCTATACAGAACCAAACACTTCATTACTATAATGCTTTAATAATATGATATAAGATAGGATATAAACTATTTTTTATCAGCACTTACTGGCTTAAAATCGGTCTACTTGTATATAATTAATCTGTTTCTAAAATATGGAGGAATACAATAATTTCATTATGCTAAATCGTATTAAGAAACAAGAAACTTCTCAGATTTCAATTAGGCTAAATGCTGTATTGTTGATAAAATAGAAGTTTTCAGTATAATGAAGCGAGTGAAACCTTAAAGTCTCACGATATCGACTCGGGTATATGTATCCTTTTCTCTTTCTACCAAATAAACTATATATTTATAAGTATTTCGATATTTTTTCTTGCGTACAAAGATAATACCTTGATGAAAAGTTAAGTCGCCCCAAAAGGGAAGAGGAATCTAAATGTCCAATAATAAGCTTGTGGAGAAAAGTTACATCTAGGACACTCCTACAGCTTGCTATAGAGGAAAGATTAAGAAGGCTACTTCTATAAGATGGGAAGCGATGGTCGAGATCAAATTTCATCCATGTAAGCAAAAAGTAGGAACTGCTTCTGGACTGACTCAATACGTGCCTGATGCTTTCTATTGCGGACACCAACGCATGAGGCATTCATTTTAAGTTGCTTCCTTAAACTTGCACTTACAAACATCGCCAAGCTTACAAAACCATCCACCAGAAATAAATACCCTTATATTGTTCAGGGAATCGTAAAAATTCCTATTGTTGAGGATCGGTTTCTCGGGTTTCCACTTATTTCTCTTGGATGAATTGTAGTAAGTAACAGTCCACACTATAATGGGACCCAAAGGCAGGAAAGTAAAAGTGTATGTAGACGTACTAATACACAGTACTATGTGCTACTATGTACTCGGTGAAGTGTAAACAGACCTTGCAAGGAAGGCCACTTGAGATTTTGATAAGTTTTTTGTGCTGCCTGCCACACTAAGCCGTGCCATCTGGCCAGCAAATTGTGTCCGACGACTGTCAAAACGCCAAGTTTGTTTGCATTCTTATATTGATATTTATTTCTACTTAACTCTACTCGAGAGACCAACCACAACAAAGATTTCTCTTTGCTCACCTGTGTACAACTTGGCAAAGGGCCAAACCATGTAATCAAGTTTCGGGTCTGTACGAGTGTGTGGTTTGTTTCGAGCTGGCCAATATAATTTACAGTTTGTTGCGTTTTATGCCACAATGACGACTGTTTGGCCTTCACTGCGTGGCTGTTCACGCTATTGTCCACTCGTTCTACGCTCGCTCCTCAATACCCGTCCGCGACTGTCCTTTTATCGGCAGCTTTAATGGCAATCGATGTCAACGCTTCAGTGTCATTGTCAAGGCGGCGCTTGTCGGTTTCTTGTCTTGCTGGCGCGTGGCTTGTCATTGCCATTTTCCATTCACCTTTCGCCATTTATATTTCCACACATTTTGTTGCAACTTCCACCCACGCTTCCACGCTAACCAAGCCTGTCCACAATTTCAAATCTCTGCGTCCGTGCATTTCTGTTATGGTTTGTATGTCTTGCGTATGAACATACTACAAGTATATGTATGGCTTTGGCAAAAAGGCTGCCCATTTTATTCGTGAACAACATTATGGAATAGTGACCATCGTGTTAGAAGAGTGTCAAATTCAAAGATCAAGCCAGAAATTGCTTCCTCAACTTCTTTCATGGCTGTGATTTGAGGAGTTCATAAAAAAGAGCTGAAGTGGTTCGCATTGGATTTCTATTGTCACCCAAAACTGCAAAGGTGTTTATTTATGTCAACAAACTTTGACTGTCGACAGAAAAAACAGTACAGTCGACTCTCGTTAATTCAAGCCTGCGATAATTCGAACCTCTCTATAATTCAATTTTATCACGAGTTCCCTACAAAATCCCTTTATTTTTCCAACTAAATCAATACATTTTTATGCACTTGGTAATTCGAACTAAAAAAGCATTGCTATATAACAAAACGACGCGTTAATTCGAACTCATCGGCGTCCAACACTCGACAATTCAAATTTTGCGACAAGTTCAAACTTGTATCAACGTACATGTGCTAGCCCCGCCGCACTTCATACCGCCAAGCAGAAATAAAAATAATTGATAATAATTGACCAACACTTAATAATTCGAAGTTTTATTTATTTTCTCTCACAAATTTAATAATTCGTAATATTTTCAGAATCCCTCGAGTTTCGAATTAACGAGAGTCGACTGTATATTCAAATTATAAAAAAACAACTTAAAAGCTAGAAAAGCCTAAGTAGCAGAGTAGAAGTCTAGT